ATCTGCTAGCTCAGGTTAGCACAAATATGCACATGTCAGACTGGCTAGCCAAACCACAATATTTTCTCAAACTTAACCAAGTAAACTTGGTTTCTTAACCCTAACAAAACCTCTCCCATTAACCACAATTACAGGAAACAGAAAAGCTAGCCTTGCTCTATCAAAAGGTACCTGAGCTGTGACAGTACATGACCAACAGAAACTGCTGCTACCCTACTTATCAAACTTTTCATTTTGGAGAACTTTTACACTGAAGCATTCAGAGGCTACTTTTGTAAAGGAGAGGAGCGCTGGTAAGCGTGTGGTAACAGTCATATATAAAACATGTGCTCAGGCTTTGCTTTGATATCTGGCCTGTTGCAAACCGCTCTCGGGTTCAGTTTTTGGCTTTGCTCAAAATGAATGTCAAACACCAGCACTGCTTCTCGGTGCATCCCCGAGAGACAACATCACAGTGCTCAGAGTGTGACCAAAACCCAGCCGCAAGCTGTCTGCAAGAGTCTCATTGATCCACTAATCCATATTTTGTTCACTCAGTCATGGAGACGCTGAAAGAAAAAGGTTTGTATGACTTTTTGTTGTCTGTAAACAAAGCATGTTTCTTTACTTACACACTTGTGGGATATTATTGTGGCTGTTTCTGTTGTGTCATGCCCTTTTTTGTGTGTTGTTGTTGTTGTATTCACCCAAGAGCAACAGAAGTTTACTTCAATAAGTTTACTTCACTGTTCTTGCTTTGCAGAAGAAGCTGTTCCTGAAGTCGAAGGTAATTTTTCTTTGTGCATTTTTTTCTCCTCCATTGTGAAGAAATGTTTTTCCTCAATTGTAACAATATTTATGGAGAAAAACTATGATTAATTTCATAAACTCGCACCATTCTAAACATCAGATGAGATCACTGAAATATAAAAAAAATGATTTTTAATATCGTCTCACCCGTTTCCACATCAAATTGAAACAATACTTCATTCACATCATCATTACCTCCTTAACTAAATCACTATAAACGTTCCTATGTTCAGTACTCGCTAATTATATGTTTGGCTCCCCAGGAGTTGCCTGCTGAGTTTGGCAGATTTATTTGCCAGGATCTTTGAAAAAAATAATAAAAATAGAGACACCTACTCAGACAAAAGCGACTGCGCGCAATGCAAGAAGAGCTCTGTTGAAATTCAATTTTCATTTCAGATCACACATGTTTGACATTCATTTAGTCGTGTTTATCCCACGGCAAACATGTCTTGATTGTTTTAAGAAGGAAAATGCATTGCATCGATTAAAGAGTGACAGCATCTAATCATATTTTCATTACTCTCACCCCTCAGAACCCCCGGTTTCAACAGCTGAAGGTAATGACCTCTTTTTCCCTTTTAGCTTTATAGGAAATTACAGCCTTCTTGCGAGGTTTCATCACCAACTGTTCTTGTTATTTTCCTTAACTTTAGCGTTCCATTATTTAATAAACATAACAAATGTGTTCGGCGCCTTGTCCATCTACGATCAGTCTTAACTGATAAGTTGTTTTCCATTTCCTGCAATCCTCATCTACTGTCTCCTCGCCTTGCCCTCGCCAAGAGCCTGCAGAAGATGGTAATGTATACGGGTGCATATACAAGACTATATTAGTTGTTTTTGTGCGCATCTTTGTCAGGTAATAAAATCCAATAGTTTTGATTTTCTCCCGTACCGAGGCATTCATTTGCAGCGTAAATATCTCAATATCGTCCAATTTTATTTTGGCCCTCATGGTTGATACACATTTATCAAAGAGATGCCTCCACTGTTTCAAGGTAAACTAAGGCTCATGGCTTGCAGCCCCAAGAGTACTTAGAGCAACTCTAGTTTGACACGATATACAGAAACGATTTAGACTCCATTTCCAACCCTGACATGCAAGAAAGATTTTCGTATCAATAGACACAGGGTAAATATCAGAGCTGAGTGAAATGAAGTTTGGAAATAATAAAAGGAAATCCATTTGCATTCCACCTGCTGATGCACTAACATTTTCCTTTGTCCTTTTGCAGCCGAGTCTCCAGCTGTGGATGAAGGTACTCTTACATGCTGATAAGGCCTTGTGAAAATAGCTTGATCACTGCTCTAGTTTACCAAAAATGTCTGGTGTCTTCAACCCGCCTTTGATAACCAAACAAAAGGAAATAAAAAATCCACAGATGCTCTCCATCACTGCTAAAATAATGGAAAAATCCAATAAAATAAAGATTTTTAGGACACTGGATACACACACATACACCCATAATATATTATTATTTTCCCTGTTGCAGATATGACAGATGAATCCAAACCTAAACCAAAGTAAGGCTGGGTTTTGTTTTTTTGTTATTTGAATTTTAATCAGTTTATCCAACTTGCAATAAGGTTGTTCAAAGTTCCTCTCATTGTAACACAGAGATGTTATATTTCAGGCTGTTTGCACCACCGCTGACTGTGCCAAAGATACCTGAGGGAGAAAAAGTCGACTTTGATGTGAGTGACTGAAGCCAATTTAAAGAAACAGTGTGGCATTTTTCAACATGGCTTGCCTTGGAGTTAGATGGGGAGAGCAGCGCTATTTCTAAGTATGAATTTAGAATACATCTCTTTTTTTTTGGCAACATAGAAAATTATTAATTTCTAATTAAAAAAGGAGTAGGTGGACTCACACTTAAAAAGACAGAATCAAAGGCTTATCTGACTTTTGCATGTATCTACAAGTGGGTGTGAAGCACAGCTCTTGATAAAGCTTTGGTTATAAGTACAGGTCCTCTTCAGTTAAAAAG